CCCTCCTTCATGATCTTCCATTTCAACAGGAAAAAAGCCTCAATTTGAGCAAAACAGTTTAGAAAACTTGCAATTATAAATTCCTTCTCTGCCCCTTTGAGAGGTAAATCTTCTTGGAGTCTGTTGCTCGTTTAACCACCAGTGATCGTAAAACTGGGGAGGGGGCATCTCTTTGACATTACGGAGGGTAGTGTCCCTGTTGCCCAATCTCTGCGGGAGTAGCCTAACTTCAATACATGCCGATTAGCAAACGCAGATGGCCGATCACGGTGGCCGTGTTTCACCAACACCCTCCGGTACTTTTCTACCCGTTCATCCTGGAGCTGAAAAACCCTCCCAGCTTTTGTTCCAGCAGTTAGTTCAATCTCTCTCCCCTACTGCAGTCTTGAATAAAGTCTTTGCCTTCTTAAATGCTGTCCTGTCAATCTCTGTTTCGATGTTGGCAAGGCTGGGAACTGCAGAGGGTCTCCTTGTGATGATCGGCTAAGGCAGAGGCAGGGGAATGAGGTGCGGGCTGGTGGACCCAAGAAAGGAAGGTTCCGCAAATGAATGATGGGAGTGGTCACGTCACACCAGGAGTGCTGGAGTATGGGCACCACTGTGCAAGCAATTTAATGAGATTGCTTTTAACATGACTTGATTTCAATTCGTAGGACAAAATTGAACACAGGATGGATCCACCAGGCTCCGTGAAGTGTTTGGTAAAAACATCTGCTAAGTCTTCATGGTTAGAGTGGCTTTGATGCTGGGAGTTTCTGCGGACCTGTCTTCAGTGCTGTAAGAAATGGGATTTTTCTTTTAACCAGCAGTGGTAGACTGGCATTGGGTTTGCTAACACGTTGTGTTTCTGGGATGCGCAGTGTTCTAACAATGCTTGTTTTTATCTGAATGGCTTCAAATGGAGCAGGTGCTCCGAAGGTGACGTTGGTCCTTCCCAGCGTATCGCCTCTTCCCTGGCTTCTAGAGGCGAGAGAGGTGGGCACCCCCATTTCATGTTCCCTCCTAGCTAACCTGAGCTTCACTGGTGTAGTTTTTTTCTCGTTTCTCCATCCCTGACTCGTGGCTCCCTCCTTCCTCTTAGGAATGTGCCGCAGTCTCATACTGCTTCTTTTCTTAATATTGAGGCTGTTTGTGAACATGGCTAGTTTCATGGGCATCTCACTTCAGGTTCTGAAATAAATATAAAAGCTAAAAAGACCTCCTTCATCCTCCCCTACCCCTAAAGCGTGTTATGGGGTAGGAGACACCATGGGGAAAACAGACCAGGAGCAAACCCCGGCTGCTGGGATCTGCTTTCTCTCGTGTCACTGATGTTGTATTCGCAAGACCTGCTTTTATTACAAGGTTGGAGATGATTCTGTTGTGCGACATTGTGAATGGGATCTAAGCAGAGATTTTGAATTTTACCTCCTAGTACAACCATATCAAGTCCAGGTTCTGAAAGAGGAGATGAAGT